ATTTTTTGGGAAATTGCAATAGTAGAAAATTTGACTGATTGCTCAGTTGTTTGGTTGATTGCTTGTTTTATTAGTTTAACTGGTTGTTTGATTGGTTATTTTTGGTTGATTTTTTTTATTTAAGCTGGGGAAATGTGGGAGGGGTGAGGAGTTGGTTGGCTGATGGGGTGGGGGGGGGTGAGGGGGGTTAGCTGGTTGCTTGTGTGGGGGGGGGGGGGACGTCAATAGCAAAAAATGCTCACAATAAGAGCAGCCCTCAGCAATTAGTGCATGGCACTACACTACCATTGCTGTAATCACATCAATTTAAGTCATTCGGTACCAGTTGATTTTTCAGCAGATGACATCTAGGAGAAGAACCCATCACTACGAAATGTCATTACTACAGACCTTCAAATGAACTAAATATACGGTAAAAGTGGCCGTTGGGGGTAAGCCAGGTTTCTTAAGTGTAATCTGACCAAATGTAAAATATATATGAACGTACTGCACTATGGTTGGGTTTTGTGGTGAAGAGTCTATCATACACTCTGCTGCGTTGATTGGAACTGAAAGAGTCAACCTGCTTCTGCTCTGACGCTCAGCTTTTATCTATCAGCAATTATTTTATCCTTTTTTTTCCCTCTCCTTTTCCATTAATGAGTTTTCTTCTCCGTGCAACATGGTTCATGTCATCCTCTCCCAACGAATCCACAATAAGATATGGGTCACTGATGTACAGCTTGCACACTATCTTTATCTATCGTAGTAGGGGACGACTCTTGACATCTTCTATCCATGTTTAATTCACCGTTGAGAATGTCAGACACTACCGTCTTCCCTCCTCCAAGTGTGTCTCAGCCATTTAAGCGTTCGAATACTGGGCATAGAGACAACTGCTGTAAACCTCGCTCTTTCCAAAAACTTAGTGTATGTGACTGACTGACTGACTTTCTACCCCACTAGGACATCACACAAGCGATAAACACCCGATGACACAATGTGCCACCATGTGGGTGAGGATCACCGTGGAGAGGTCCCAGAAACCGCCTTCAGACAATTGGCCATATTTATGACCTGCCTATATTGCAGCCCCTGGCAACTGCCAGGGTGGGGCTTCAAATAACAAAAAATTTCATCCTAAAAAATACGAAACCGGATAGTATTATGCTTATCCCTCAGTGAATATGATTTCATCTTCCCATTTATTGTTAAAGTATTCTGTTCAGGAATAGCACATAATGGTTAAAAACATATTGGTTGTGCCTATGACAATTAAAACTACTACTTCTACTACTCTACTATTACTACTACTACTACTACTACTACTACTACTACTACTACTACTACTACTATCTACTACTACTACTACTACTATTACTATACTACTACTACTACTACTACTACTACTACTACTACTACTATTACTACTGCTACTACTACTACTACAGCAGCAGCAACAACTACTACTACTACTGCTACTACTACTACTACTACTTGACTACTATTACTACTACTGCTATTACCATTACTACTACTTCTTCTTCTTCCTCTTATTATGCTGCTGTTGCTGCTGCTGCTTATTGTTCTTCTTCTTGTTGTTCTTCTGCCTTTTCCTCATCTTCCTCCTCCACTTCTTTTTCCTCTTCCTCATCTCCCTCCCCCCTCCGTCATCTTCAGCCTTTCAACGTCAGGTTTTCAAGTGGCATCGGATGCGGACCTTGGTACGTGTTAAGTAGATACTGGTATTTAGGACCTCACATATTCCATCCGTCCATCGCTTGTGTGGTCAACCTCTAACTCTGCTTCCATTGTATATAAATAACAAGGCTCTACGAGGTGCAACTTTTGGTAACAATACTGACACATGTCCAAACCATTCGATCTTTTGTCTCTTGATGTAGTTAAGTGCTGGTTCCGTTCTAACCATTTTTTCCTGATGTCATTTCGGGTCCTGTACCATTTAATTAATTAAGCATTCATCCTAGACATTTCATTTGTTTTTCCTTTTTTTCTCTCTCTCTCTCTCTATTTGTTTCGTTCTTATTTGCTTTTTTGTTTATTTTGTTGTGTTGTTTTCTTTTTATTGTTTTGTTGTTTGTTCTTTGAGCCAGGTGTGCAAAGAATAGCCAGTACGTGCCACGGAGGTGGAAAATCAGCAAATGATATAAGATAATGCTCTCTCAGGTGATGTGATTATTTAAAAGACCTGTGTCCAGATGACAAATAAGTGCTTGGAGCTATTGAGCTTAAGAATGGAAGTGGAGGCGGTCACTGCAGCTTTCCGCTGGCTAGAAAACACGAGGCGCACACGCACACAAACACACACACACAAACACACACACACACACACACACACATCGTGATTGTAACTGACCCGGAAAGCATGTTGAGAAAGACGAGCTCACGCATGCTTCATAAAGAGTTCCATGCTTGGCTTCATGGGTCATGGATGAGGAGCATTGTCTGGATCTTTTCTCCAGGGTAAGCCGGTGTGTTAGAAAATGAACCGGCTGGCTGACTCTGCACGATTTGGTGGAATACTGATGAATCATAATACAGACGTGGTCAAGGCCTTATGGGAGACCGTGTACAAATAAAAGGAGCAATTGGATCACTACAATCTGGTGAGAGTGATGCAGCGAGAAGTGACAAGATTTGGCCGATAGTCGACGATCAGAGGAAATCCAAGGCGGAAGCGTAATCAGACTGCTACTAGCACCACTGGCTGCTAGAGATGAGGACGTAGTGCTTGTGGGAATATTTCGGGTGCTGTGATGTCGGTTTTTCAATCAACTCAACTCAGCACGCTGACTGCTTTGCGCTCTGAAAGTAATCACTTCGTTTCTTTGACTTCAGCGGCGTCCGTGGCTAAGGCGTTGCGAGTCCGACTCGTAATCCAACGTACCGCGATCGAAACCCACTGCGGGCTGCGAGGATTTTTATCGTGGTATGGGACGTCGCAGGTCGACCCAGCCTCAAATGGGTACCAGGATGGGCTGTCCTGGGAAAGTAAAGACGGCCGGCGTAATGCTGACCACATTACCCACCTAGTGCCGATTGGTCTGTAAAAATATGGGTGCTCTTCCCATATGCCCGATGCGCCTAAGGCCGTGTAAAGGAATCTTTACTTTTTTTTACTTTCTTTGACTTCTTCGTTCAGTTTATAAGTGTGATTTTCAGAACTTTAAATGGCCAAAGCTACGGAGTTCGTGCTTTGTACTACGCTCTCGGCAAGCCCCCTAGCCAATCGATGGGAAGAGAGGAAACTATGGGGGGGGGGAGGGGGCATTCAATTTGATCTTCTGGATTTTATACCTTTAAACAACATTTCAGAATGCATAATGTCTGAGTCTGGAATCCAAAAACAATAGATTGCACAATTTATTACCTGGCATATTTCGATGTAACTCGTGATGTGCATACTACAGTGGTAATCAGATTTTTTTTTTTTAAAGCAAATCCATTCAGCTGAAATATAAAACCAAACTCTCAAAAGCAACTGCCTGTTTGACCAGTGCAAAAGCAAATTCTCGGTAATGTCCTTTTGTCTGCACAAATCATGACGGTTTTACCTAATTAGATATAATGAAAAATGACAGGCAATAAATTGTGCAGTATATTGTTAGTGTCTTCTTAGTTCAGATTCACGAAAGGGAAACAGCTTTGGAATCAGTAAACAAAGAGAAAGTTTATCTCACCGGCCTGAGAAGTTGGAAATGGTTTCGTGCAGTTTCTCCATGTATGTTGGGTACATGTTGATAACCGTTTCATCGTCAGGAATCGTTACGTTTGCAATACCATATAAGGCTCTTATGGTTCCAGGTATGTCTAGCTGTGAGAGTAATAAACAAAGAGGCGGTCAGATTAAGTATGGTGTGTGTAGTGAGAATAGTATGTCATCATTATCATGTAGCAGGTCCTTAGTAGAACGTCGCTCTCATCACGGTCTGCCTTAAAGAAACTTGTTCTCTCACCAGCTGTCCCGCCTCATGCACTTTCATACTCAAGGAGCCACTTATATCATGTGCCCATCTTCGTGTTGGTCGACCCCTGCCCCTCCTTCCTGGTACCATGCCTTCTGCTTCAATTTTTTTCCACTCCGTCGTGGCGCTTGATATGACTAAAATATTTCAGCTTCCGAGACAGGATGCTGTTTATTAGCCAATCTTCCTTGAGGTTCAGATCTTTCATGATATCAGTATTTCTCCTCTTTTCCTTCCAAGAGATTCTGAGAATCTTTCTATAGCATTTCAGCTCAAAAGCCCCTAATCTCTCAAATAGTATGTAGAAGCGAATTAAATGGATTATATTAGATAGGTATTGATATGCAGTGAATTATACGTAAGTAGTGTGTGTTGTGAAAACCATATTTAGATATGTATTGTGTGAATAATATTTAGATATGTGTCGTGTGTGTTGTGTGAACTATATGTAAATAAGTAGTGTGTGTTGTGAGACCTGGGGTAGGAGCCTGTCCTACTACTAGGCGCGTCCACCAGGTGACGGATGGTGGAAAGGCCTCTAGATATAGAGGTTAGCCACGAATATATTGAATGTGGCTGTGGACCAAAACAGGTGATGGTCATTGAGAGGAGGCGAGTTGGTGAGACAGCTAACTCTATAAAATACCTCAAAACTCTACGACATGGCCATCGGCGGGTAAGAGGCGCCATAACCTCTCCCCCCTGCTGCCTTGCTGGGTAAGTCTCTTTAGACAAAGGCTATTGGAGTCAAACCATATACAAACCGGCGGAAGGTAAGGGGAAACCACCGCTGTACTATCCCAAGAAAATCATGCCTCAAAATAATACATATTCAGATAACGACGTGAATAGGGATTCCAGTGGAATCACCTTGTCCGGTAGGGAGCATCATGTTCTACGGGTGATACCCGACCGTCATCCAGCTACCGTAGAAAAAGTAAATGGTAGAAATATCATAAACATTGGTACATGGAATGTCAGAACACTCGTACAAAACAGAAAGTTGGATACCATCAAGGTGGAAATGAAAAGAATGAACATCAACATATTAGGAATTAGTGAAATGTGATGGCCAGGAGCAGGTGAAAAGTATTCAGATCAGTACATGATTATTTACTCGGGTGGGAAGGAATATAGTAAAGGAGTTGGTATTATTTTGGATCAAAAGAACTCAAAAACTGTGAAAGGATTTTGGACAATATTAGATAACTATTAGTAAAACTTCTCGGCAGACCGTTTGACATCAACTTAGTACAGATTTATGCCCCAACAGCAGATAGTTCAGAGGAAGATATTGACGCATTTTATGATGAGTTAGACATGGCTGTTGATCAATGCAAAAATTGTGAAGTAACAATGGTACTTGGAGATTTCAACGCGAAAATAGGAAGTGAAATAACGGAATAACGGGTGGCTATGGCCTAGGAGAAAAGAATGTGAGAGGTGACAGTTTAATAGCATGGGCTGAGTCACGGAGCATGATAATAGGTAACACTTGGTTTAAACACCATCCTAGAAGATTGTGGACTTGGAAAAGTCCTGGTGATAATGTCCGCAATCAGATTGATTATATTTTTATTTCAAGAAGATTCAGGAGCAGATAAGTTGGAGCAAAAACTAGACCAGGAGCAGACAGCTTTAGTGACCATGTTCCAGTTGTAGGAATAATTAGAATAAAACTAAAGATCATTAGAAAAACACCACAGAACATAAAGTTAAATTTGGGAATTCTTAGAACGGATAAAGAAATTAAGGACCAGTACAATGTCACTGTACAAAACCGGTATAATGCAATGGAAATTATACAGACTATTGATGAACAGTGGGATATGTTGCGTGAGTCAATTCAGCAGACATCTAAAGAGACAATCCCACAAACCCATAGAGTTGCAAAAAAGAAATGGATGTCAACCGAAATTCTGCAGTTGATGGATGAAAGAAGGAAGAAAAATAATGATAAAGAAGAATACTCTAGAATACAAAAAGAAATACTGAACAAATGCAAAGTGGCTAAAGAAGCCTGGCTGAATCAAATGTGTACAGAGATTGGGGAAAACAACAGGTGAGACTCACATTCCATGTACCAAAAGATAAATATGTTAACAGGAAAGATGACACGTAACAGCACTGGATGTTTGAAATCAAAAGATGGTGACTTATTAATCGGACATAATAATATAATTAACAGATGGACAGAGTATATAGGGGAATTGTATGATGATAATAGACCAGATGTAGAACTGAAGACCAACAATGATGGTCCACCAATAATGACTGCAGAAGTTGAGGATGCAATACATCATATGAAGAAAGGAAAAGCACCCGAGCCAGACAACATCTCACTGGAAGAAATCGAAGCACTGGGAGATTTTGGAATTGAAATAATAACTAAACTTTTAAATGATATTTATAATAGTGGGTATATTCCAAATGACCTTTTAAAATCCCTATTTATAGCTCTGCCTAAGAAACCAGGCACTATAAAATGTGAAGACCATCGCATAATAAGTCTTATGAGTCACATGACTAAGATTTTACTGAGAATAATTATGAGAAGTATAAGAAACAAAATTAAACCAGAAATCAGCGATGAACAATGGGGATTTGTAGAAGGAAAAGGTACAAACAATGCCATATACATCCTAAGGACATTGTCAGAAAGAGCTATAGAAGTAAAGACTGATTTGTACATATGCTTCATAGACTAAACAAAAGCATTTGACTGTGTGAAGCATGAAGAAGTAATCAAACTGTTAGAAAAATTAAACATTGATGGGAAAGATCTACGAATAATAAAGAACATGTATTGGCAGCAAATAGCAGCTATAAGAATAATCAACTGTTTAGGTACATTTCAAAGCATAAAGAGGGGCGTAAGACAAGGATGTGTACTGTCACCTGATTTGTTTTCAATATACAGTGATTATATAATGAGAGCTTTAATTGGTATGCCCGGAATTGTGGTTGATTCGCACAATATAAACAATTTACGTTATGCTGATGTCACAGTCTTGATAGCAACAAGTCAAAAAGAACTACAGGTAATGATAGACATTGTGGTGTTAGAAAGTGGAAGAATGGGCCTTAGTTTGAATAATGAGAAGACAGAAGTAATGGTGGGATCAAAGAAACAAATTATTCCTAAGTGCGTAATAAAAGTTGATGGTGTTATTTTAGGACAAGTACAGAAATTTAAGTATCTTGGCACATGGATAACAACAGATGAAAGATGCATAACTGAGATAAGAAATAGAATAGGACAGACAAAAACTGCATTTTATAAAATGAAAAACATCTTGTGCAATATATCCTTGTCATTGAGAGTTAAAAAAAGAATTCTTGCTTGCTACAAACATCCAGTTTTAACATATGGCTGTGAATCCTAGACAATCAGTAGGCAGGCCAAACAATTTCTGGAGGCCGCGGAGATGTGGTTTTACAGAAGAATGCTTAGAATGCCTTGGACAGCCAAAAAGAGCAACCAAGAGGTTTTGAAAGAGGCGGGAGCCCGAAGACAACTTGTCACAGACATCAG